AAAAAAAAAAAAAGATGGAAAAGATGGAAAAGATAGAAAAGATGGAAAAGATGGAAAAGATGAAAAAGATGAAAACGAAAGAAGCACTAGAAACAAAAAGTATCCCGTCTACTCACCAGCCGTACGCAAAAATGGCCACATGGATTGCCCAGAAGAGGAAGTGGAAACTCAGTTTCTGAGTAGTAAATTGTCTGCGAATAAGCTCGCGGTACCCGTATTGGCCCGCCATGACGGATCGGTGGTGCAGTCTGAGCGGGAATAACGAGTGTCGACCTGCGACACGATGAGGGACAAGGGTACCCTGTTGCCAGCCTACTTTTACCTGTTCCTGAGTCGACGGCAGGCAGATGCAAGAAAAGCCTGAATGCTTGTACGTGTGGCCGAGATTGGAGGAGCTGCGTTGCTGGCACAAACTGACAACCACAGCTGCTTATAGAAATGAGTCTCCAAATGTGACCACAATTATAAGCTATGCAGGAGTCGTCAAAAACCAAATAAGAAAAACGGGAGCTCTGAGCCCAGCGGATGACGGAAGCAAGAAGACCGGATAGGTTTTCGCTGTGCCGTCCTCAAACAAGGGGCAGGATGGAACCGAGGGCAACCTCGTCGTGATGTGACGGCGGATGGGGAAGACACGGGGTGATGGCTGGAGAGGAGTTTGAGTTTCGAGTTTCGAGTTTCGAGGTACCGATTCACGGGCGAGAGACGCTTGATCCCGACACAGGCTGGACTCTGGCTCTATTCTTAGCTTTGATCGGCAGCCAACGCACAAGACGGACCGTCATGGTCCCCCGCGCTGAGGTACCCCACGAACCTCGGCAGAAGAAAGGACGGCGGTTTGGGAATTCAGGGGCCGTTGGATGTATTCCCGTCGAGAGGACAGCCGAGATCAGACGCAATGTGAGACCGGGGCACCGTGTGCGATGGGGCTGGTCGCAGAGAAAAAGAAGAAGAAGAAGAAGAAGAAAAAAAGAAAAAAGTCCCGAGGAGGCCAGGCAGTGCCGACCAGGCAGACGGGATGGATGTCCACAGGCCGGATGCTGGTATACCGGCGCGATCAAAGCTTCAAGACTTGCGACAGCCAGTGTACGAGGCTGGCGGCGGCGAAACACGGGTAGATGGGTTGCGCCTTGGTTGGGAGATGGAGCATGCGACTCTCGTCATGCACGGAGCTGCCGTCTGCTCATACCGTTATCTGTCATGGAGATGAAGATGATGATCAGAGGCTACCGAGGGATGGGGGAGAAGGGGGGACGGTCTGGATTCTCTCGACTGAGAAGGCGGCTGAGAAGCCCTCCGATGCGCTTGGAAAGGTCCTGATGTCCATGATGCACGTCGGATTCTTTTTTCTGCCCCTGCCCCTGGCTGTGGTTGGGAAAAGACTGCATGTGCCAATACAGGTGCAGCATCGTCTCTGTGGCTCGTCAGTGGCCCAGGAATCGAGACGCATGGCGGCCGCCAAGCCCCGTTGGGCCAAGCACCACAGCTCCCGGCGCTTAGGACGTTGGACGAGCGGCAGATCCGACGCCGGTCATTGGTCGTGCGGGATGACGGGTCACGACGCACAAGTGGGCGAGTGGGGCCATGAAACCTGCGACGTGTGAGAGAGAGAGGTCGCAGAGGTCGCAAGAACGCGCCATTGTCGTGCCCGGACACGGGCGGGAACAGCAGCAAACGCAAACCCCGGCTGACTTGTGGCAGACCCAGTAGAATGTGCTCAATAGTACCTTGCTCGGCAGCACAAAACAAATGCCCGAATCATTGTCGTGCGTCGAAGCAAAACCACAGCCCGACGTCGCCCGTCTCCGACGCAGCTTCATGGTACAAGCTCCCTTATTTTTCAACATAACTCGCCCCTGTGCAACGTCACGACGAAGTGTCCGAGTGGTTAAGGAGCAAAATTAGAAATTTTGTGGCTTCGGCCGCGCAAGTTCGAATCTTGTCTTCGTCGAAGCACGAGCCAGACGATGGAATTTCTTTTTTCTTCTGGTTCGTTTTCGCGGCAGATTATTGTGCGATTTTTTTTTTTCCTTCCCTCCCTCGATGTAAGGCCGGGCGTGTCGGCGTAAATCAGCGCTGCGGACGCTGCGGTATGCCAAGATCTGCCAGAGCCGCATGAATTCGAACGAGTGAGTGAGACGCAACGCCGGAACTAGAAAATAGTTTTGGCCCACAAAAAATGTGGCCAAAATATCTTTGTACCGTCCCTTGCAAGGACAGAACTGCGGTAAGAGTCGTCTTCAGAAAAGGGCCATACAGGGGCGCTCGCGAGGCGGGATGAGCCTGGAGCCACCAGGATGCCAAGGCCTGTAGTTCTTGCGGCTCGGAAGGGCAAGAATGAGACGCTAGGCAGCTTGTAGACTTCAGCCGCTCGCGTCTTCTCTTTAGCCTCCCAAATCTTGAACACGTTCGACCAGAATTGAGCAACGCCTGTTGCCAGCCTAGCCAAGTATAGTGTGGCTTTCGATGCCCGGCAACATGATGGCTAAAACCTATTCGCATACACAAACATGCAGCCAACAAGCATAGCAAAGACGTGGATATTGTAATTCCACAGGAACAAAACAACGACAACAACAAAAAAAAAAGCTTCTACTTTTGAACGGGTGAAAAAAGAAAAGATTTCATCATTTAGACCGTGACCATTATGGCTCGCGGCCGTAGTAGTCAAGAATATCCCTAGCCGGCCAACCATGCAATGAAACACAATGAATCGTGACTCCGCGCACCGCGTTTTTCCAGCCCTCCGCAAACTGTCTTTATAAAACCGAGATTCCACCTAGTATTTCTTGATGTGGAGGGTGTCCGCAAATTCCTCCAGGGGACTTCGGATGAGTTTAGTCTCCTTCCACAGGTTGGGTGTGAGGAAACCGTAGGTGTTGGAGACGGCGACGAAGCAGGCCTTGAGGGTGTTCTCAAGCGTCTTGGTCGAGCCGGCGGATGAGGTGTATGCGTCCTCGACACCGGCGAGCTGGAGGAATCGCTTGACGGCGGGGGAGGCGACGAGGCCAGTACCTCGGGGGGCAGGGATAAGCTGTGAAGAGAGGAAGAACACGCATTAGTCCAATTCGACTACTGTGTCGGATAGTGCACAGCTTGGCCGTTGGTGCTGGAGGTAATGAGGTAGAAACGCTCGAATGTTCTGAGCAGTTCTATTGGGATTTGGACAACGGGACACAACGTACTCGGACCGTGACGGAACCGCACTTGCCGCTCTGCTTGGAGGGCAAGGAGTGGGGAGCACCGAGGTTGGTACCCCAGTAGCCTCGTCGGACGGGAATGACGCTCAGCTTAGCGATGATGATGGCGGCACGGATGGCAGTAGCGACTTCCTTGGAGGTCTTGATGCCGAGACCGACGTGGCCCTCCGAGTCACCAATGATGACGACAGCCTTGAATCGAGTTCGCTGACCGGCACGGGTCTGCTTCTGAACGGGCTTGATCTAAATTTGGAGAACAAGAAAAAGAAGAAAAGATGCGTTAGTATAAGTGTTCTGATCTGTTGGAAAGAGATTGTACGAGCGTAATTCCCCAAGGCATTATATAGCTTCTCTCCGTCAAGTCTGTAACGCGTCTCCCTGCGCCCTTGTTGGACCCTTTTATTTCAAGACATGTATATAGAATCTTTTTTCTTCCCATCTCTTTCGTAGTCGCTTCGGTCCGTATGAGAGAATATGATGCCGCGGTTGTAGCTCTTCTCGCTATTCCAACATGGTTGCAAAGGGAGAGAAAAAAATTAGGGCATGTATATCGCTTCGCACCTTCATGACCTCATCCTTGAGCTTGGGCAGGAATTTGTCGACAATCTGGAACTCCTTGATGGGCAACGAGTGCAGGTAGATCTCCTCCATGCTGTTGATCTTGTCGGCCTTGACCAGACGGCCAAGTTTGGTGACAGGCTGCCACTCCTTCTCCTCATTCTTGCCGCCTCGTCGACCACGGCCACGTCCACGACCACGACCACGGTCACCACCTCGGGATCCGAAACCACCGCCACGTCCACGGTCAGCCATGATGATCGATGTGTTGCGGTTGTCGTCGAAAGGCGGATTGATTTCGGCGCGGGCGCTGTGTCGGTGATTAGTGATGGGGAGTGTGCGTCCGGCGATACGGGTTCAGCTGGCTGGCTAACTTTTCGCGCTGCTTGGCGGGGCGGACTGGCTGGCACTCTAGGCAATTGGGGAATTTTTTTTGTTTTTGGGTGCGCTTGGGTTTGGCGAGCCCTAATGGCTCGATTGTGGCCAATCAGTTGCATGCTCTGGCTTGTGTGGCAGGGAACGTGGGAAAGTGGATCCAGTGTTTTCGTCCCCTCCTGCTCGTCGAGCCGGCGTTAACAGATGAAAGAGCGAAAGTGAGAAGCAGGGAAATGGATAGCACTTCATTCGGACACGACTACAAAGCATATGTCAAGAATTGATACAATTTAAAAAAATGAGTAATACATTGCTAGCAGAGATGAAGAAAGACTAAGGTAATATTAAATCGACATGTCATGCGGAAAACTGCTTCAACCAGCGAAGACCAGGAACTCGCTCACTCATTTACACACCTCAACACTCACTCGCTCGCTCGCGCTCGCGCTGGATCCGCGCCATCAGCTCACAATTCAAAAGCAACAAGTTAGTAAAGTGTACAGTGCCAACGGTCAGTCTTCACTAGATCCCGGAACCGTGAATATCTCGTACAAGGAGTGGAAAAGCCCAAGCCAAGTAAGGCTGGGACAAGGAAAAAAAAACATCAAATCTTGGAAGGCGAATATGAGGACATATGTGTGGACGATACTCAACAGACAAAGTAAGCAGTAAGGGGTATCGTGTGTTAGAAATCCGTCTACTCTGTTGCCTGCCTTGTCAAAAAGCACAAATGAAACCGCCAGGTGCACACTTCTGCTTCACTTCTCCGTTTTCAAGATCAGATTGTCTGATGGCTTAACTCGTTGGGCCCATTCACTGTGTAACAAGTATGGTTAGCAAAAAGAAGAAAATCTTCCCATAATCAAGACCATAATATGATGTATAACTCACGTCCAGCTTCCATCATAGACCTTTCGCGACGCGGGAGATCCATAACCAGCGACCTCCAAAGCAGCATCGACAACACAGGCAGTAACTCCGGTGCCACAACTGGAGATGATGGGCTTGTTTGGGTCCACGCCCTTCTGTGCTAATATACTACGCAGCTTTTCTGCCGAGGGAAATGCCTTGGTTTGCTGATCCAGCAAGGCGCTGAACGGTATATTGATGGAACCAGGCATGTGGCCAGATGATAGACCCTCTCTCGGTTCGGGATCTACACCTTCAAATCTGCCGTTGGGACGCGCATCAAGGATCTGCACTCCCTCAGCTCCTTCCTTGTTATAATCCATGGCCACCTCCTTGACGTCTTCAAAGCTGGCTACTTTGCCATCGTCGAGCTTTGGAATGGGATATGGATAGCACTCCACGCTGTACAGCTCGCCCGATTCCGTAGGCAAGCCCTCTTCCACCCAGAGCTTGAAATTGTTCAAGATATGAACATTGGCGTGCCCAAATATCTTGAAGGTCCAGCCAACTCGAGGGGCACTGAATATACCAAGCTCCTTGGTGTCGTAAACGACGACTGTGTCCTCCTTGCGAATTCCCAGTTCACTCAATGCAGCTGCGAATTCCTTAGCATCCGGCAGCATATGTGGATAAGGGCTGTGCTTGTCGATGACCTTGTCCAGGTCAAAGAACCGAGCTTTTGGGATGCGCTGCTCCCTGAAGACCTGGATGCCTGTTCGCCCATCGTTAGGCAAGAACCACGAGGCGCAAAGGGGTATCACTCGTGGATCAGTGCTGATTGGCGAGGGAGGATTCTTCCTCAGTGCCTCATGGAGCTCCTTTGGTGTGACTAAGTAGCTTGACAAATTCCTCATGGACGAAATGCTGGCGGAAATGCCTCTGGTCCTCCACGAGGAGAGACCAACTCGGGAGCTGCGGGCGACCGCGACAAAGGCCATGACACACCCCTATCTCGCGGCGGGCCGAGACTTGCGAAATGCCGGTCGAAAGTATTGCAGTTTCCGAGCCTTGCCTCGCTGTTTGCTATCAGAACCAGAACCGAAGCGAGTAGTTTTTGAGAGGCACTCGAAGCACTTCTTTTGGGCAGGTAGTCTCTCGTGCCGGGTCAAACGGTCCGAGTCAGGAGTCCGAAGCCTCGGCAGATGGAGATATTCGCAGATTTCCAGGGTACAAATGTCGCCCGGGAAGGGATATGACGACAAAGGAGAGAGGTTTGAATACGAGGCGGTGTATGGTGTTTTGTGGTTCAAACGCCAACTCGGCTCTGGTGCCCACGGGATTCTTGAGCCAGAAAGGAAGGAAGAAGCCGGCACATGCAGTCATTTGTATGCAACGGAACTGCAGAGCCAGCTACCCAACCACATGCGCCCAGCAGCAAGCGAAACAACGAGGTTGGCAGGCCTTGGCGGGTCTTGGTGGCAAGGAGCTTGGGCCACCTCCACCAGACCCCACATCAAGGTCAATTGCGCCGCCAACAATGCGTGTTTGCGACCTGCCACTTGCGACTTGCAACTTGCAACTGGAGACGTGGGATGCGGCGCGCAACGAGCATCACGACAGCCAGTCCTTCTTCGACCACGCCAGCATTTTTGCTCGTCCATCTGCACGAACGCGCCCTCTGTACAGAAAAAAAAAAATGAAGGTCACCATAAAAGAATGGAACACCGTGGCCACCTGGCGCTGGGATATTCCCGAAGACGACGTATGCGGCATCTGCCAGGTTCATTTCGACGGGACATGTCCCACGTGCAAATATCCTGGCGACGACTGTAGTTTGTGTTAGATCTTATCATATCCCATCTCCCCCGGATTGTCTTCCTCATTCATTACTCCCAACCGCTTTTCTGACCCGGAAATCTTCTGTAGTGTCGGGCAAATGTGGCCACAACTTCCACATGGTGAGCTTATA